GGAGATGTTTTTAATTGCAGGACTCAAAGCATTGTGAAAAACTGCAGCACTGTACGTGAAAGAACGCTGAAATAAAGCTGTAGAGTGAATAGGAGTAGTTATCATATTTGTAAATCTAATATGTCTATCGTAAAGATCAGCTTTTCTCTCAGGTACATGGGTTTGGACATAAGTAGTTTATGAATGAATACAAGTTAATGATATTTGACATTATTTTTTGTATTCCTCCAGTTTAATTTTATAGGACTACCAGAAGCATGGTCAAATCGCCTTAATCCGCCGATGAATCTGGCATCTTTTCACAATTTGAATCCGATTTCTAGTAATTAAGACACGGATAATATAAAATATCACAGTAATAAAAATGGGGATAACAAAGATGAGAACAATTGTTTCCTTAGTTTAAAATTAAACACTGCTGTATTAGCATATAGTTATCTCGGTCTCATATATGTTTTCTTTAAAATGTTCTTGACATGAATGGAGCACCTGAGTTTAAAATCAATTATTACGCCAAGAATTTTAACCTCATCAACCGGGTATAGTCTTTGAGCTCCAATGTTAACAGCAAGTTGACTTTTAACTCCTTTTCTTTTACGGCATGAACGAAAAAATAATAATAATAAAACGCTGGATTTCCTAGGATTTATAGACAAGTTGTGGTTATTCGGATATTTATAAACTTTTTGAATATCATGGTTTACTTATGCCTGCGCCATTTCTATATCATCAGTATCAAAATACTGAACAAGTTGAGTATTCTCCGCGAAAGATTGGAATTCACAGAATCTCACAGTATCATGTAGACTATCCAAGAAACCGAAAACAGAGGTACTCCAGAGGAAATTTCTAGAAAACTAGATTCATTGTTATCAGTTGATACACACTGCGATCGATTTGATATATAATTACGAAAAAAGATCAGTGCAGTTGGATCTACACCATGATACTTCAATATTAACAACTCATGATTGATTTTGTCAAATGCCTTGGAGTAATCGATTGACAAAGCATAAGGGCTCTAATAATATTATCAACTAAGTTAAGGAGGGAAGTAGTAGCACTGAAAGATTTCATAAAAGACTGATTAGATGAGACGATTGTTCATCTGCATAATGCATTATTTTTGGGCGACAAACAATGTAATCTAGATATGTAGGCTTGCCTTTTAATCTATTTGAATTCGTTGGTCCTGTCCGACTCATTTTTCGATAATAATTGCTATATCATAAATGAAATTAAAGAAGTCTCCTACAACTGTCTCATCAACTTTATGGAATGTATAGTTTCGGTGTGCTAGCACCCCAATGTTACAAGATAAGTTAGTATATTTTAATAATGAGCCTACGTGAAAATATTTCTAAAGCCATTAATTGCTTATTGAACCCTTAGATTTCTTCCTGTCTTAGTTGTATATATGTTTTTAGTAATCTGTCACGTAGGATCTCTGTTCTTGGATAATGTCTTGTCAATTACTTGATAATTCCTTTAGGCTAAGTTTTAGTCGTAGATTAAAGAAGCGATGGGTCATATGACAAGATTAAGTGTGAATCGCCATAGGCTAGACTTTGCAACGTACTGTATCTGTTACAATACGGTCAATTGAATTGAAGGATTAGACAATATCTTCCTTCCAAGTCATGTCATAATTTAAATTAAAATAGAGAAAATATTCTATTGGATATTTAATACTTTTTGAAAAAATAATGTACGTATGTACCGTCTGTTTAGTTATATTTAGCTTCTAGCCCCGCGGTTTTACCCGCGAGACGTGCAGGCTGCACTCCATCCATTTTCCCGAACATGCAATTTGGCTGTCAATTTACTAATGCAATCAAAGATAACAAAAAGTGACCGCAAGTTTATAGTATGACTTAAAAAAACTGTTTTATGTTACAGTTACGCGTTGTTGCCGGCTTGACGCTAATGGAGGAGCGTTTGCCCTGATAGGATACAATTACCATACTTGGCATGGTGCGAGTGGCAACAATCAAAGTGGCAAACAGTGGCGTGAAGCTACGTTAAAAATAAATAAAAGCAATTATTTTTAGGGCTTCATATAGAGGTGGCAAACCACTAGGCCAATTGTAAGAACTTTTCTAGTACAGTTTGACATACAGCTACTTTTACCGCTCATTCTCGATATACCCCTGACATCATTGGTCAAGCTCATTTCTGGGGTTAGTAATTTACAACTTCAAAAGGAAAAATCCGTGATACAAGATTATTTATGGGTCTCATGTAGCCTTGGGCATCACGGTGGAGAAACAAATATGCCGTTTGCAAACATTAAGGTTATACATATAACTATTATGTATAAGCCTCGTCTTCAACTTCACGAAAAAGAATGAACGAGGCTAGAACTAACTGCAAATTTTCAGCAGCAAGTTGAGCAAAACCCTGTCCCACAATAGTCCAGGTAATGTAAAAGTAGTATATTGTGTTTTCATCCAATAAAAAATATTTAACCCTGCTCGTTCCTGATGAATGGCACAAGCCTTTTTTCCAGATCTATTGTAGTAAATTTCCAGAAAATTTTAGACGATTTGAACATGGCAATATAAAGTTAAAGTAAGATAATAGCCAAGGGGTTTTCCCAATAAAAACACTAAAATATGCCGTTGCCCCATGAATGGCCCATACCTCTTTTCGAGATCTATTCTAGGATATTATAAAAAAATCCAGATAATTAGTAATAATTAGTTTTGTAGGAGAATATCCAATATTAAAGGTTTTTCATCCAATAAACAATGTTAAAGCAAGTCGTTCCGTCACATACCAATTTTCTAGATCCATTCATGAGGAACGACAAGCCTTAGTATTTTTTATTGAAAGACAATCCAGTATACTACTACTATAGTACTTGGACTATTGAGGAACGGGGTTATTCTCAACTTGCTACTGAGAATTTGCTGCTAGTTTCAGCCTCGTAAAACAATGAAGTTAATTTTCTATGACTATGAATTGGACGACGCAGTATGCATTTCCACAAATAGCTCGGAATCAAATATGCATGAGGAGAGTCTCGAATGCTTTTCAGCTATTCGTTTGGAAAATGTCCCGTGGAAATGAATCTTGTCGAAAAAATACATCCTGACCTTGTGAACAGTAAACTCTAATATCCAAGTAGTAATGTTTAAATGGTAAATAGGTACTTCGGAATTTGAATTTAGTATAGTTTGTTATAGACACCGTTCTTGGCGTTTACGTCATCAACGCCATATGAAATAAGTAAACAGATCGAGTCTGCGTACCATAGGCGGAACACTGCGCAATAAATTTAGCACGAGCTGTCGGCTTTCTCCATTAATCGTATTTCTGGGCATTGTATAATTTTATATTGGACAGGACAACTCAAATTGTCAAGTAAGTTCTCACTCTGACAAATATGATTGAACGGCACTCATAATCGACAAAATTTTCGAGACGGAGATACACAACTAAAAAACGTATGTCTTTACCGAACAAACGTTCACAGACAGGGGTAGGCTGCATGTCTATGTATGGGGGAGATGGATATATATAAACGGATACTGGTAGTCTTACTTTGTCCCGCCAAGAACGGTGACTACAACTATACCATTTTTGAACATTTACCGGTTAATATAATGGACCGTTTTAAAACGCACTGTGCAAACGTATTACGACAATTCTCTCTCGTTTTTTGAGTTTTTCGTGGAAATGGTGATGTGATAGATGTTAACGACGAGTGTTACCGCAGTTTGCTAAAAGACTTTTCATGCATCAATATGCGTTTTGAACTTGCGACACGTTGAAGGAAACTTTAGAATTTTCACAGACCCGTTTTCCTGGCCACGTAATTTCTCACAATCGTAGCTTTTTCTTTACATGATTCCTCAAAAAACAAATCTATTTAAATAAACCGTAGACGAATAGTGCCCTGAAGAAAAACAACTGTGGGCCTTTGTAAATAGGTACCCCATCGGTGTTTAGGCCTTAGGCCTCCGTGGTGGTTCGAGTATAAAAAAAATATTTTTCTTGGACAGTGTGTACTGAACTATTAGAGTTTTGCAAATATTGCTTTAAAAGTTCCGGTTGCAAATGGACATTAAGTAATATGTTGATGTATTTGGAGCTAACCTCTATGATCAGTTCAAGCCCCAACAACCCAATCTTCTTAATTTTGAGCCAAAATATCGAAAACTGGGTCAAACGGTCTATTCAACCGATTCAAAGGTCCGAGTCTTATGTGTTTTGTGGGTGCGAGTACAGAATTCAATTTATATAGATCGACCGGTTGGTCCTCATAAAAATTGATTTTGTGGATTTTTTGCGGAAGGCGCTAAAATCGACAGCCCAATAAAACAGAAAAGAATTCAAAAATATAAGTTTTGACAGAAATATCTACCGAACAAATTAGCGGATCATAATTTGAAAGCCATGGTGAGAAAATGTAAAATTTTCCAAAACCTTCATAATTCGAGCGCCATTTCCGATCGAACCGTTCAACCCAGGGCTCTGAAATTTTTTAAATCTTTTCCCTCCTTATATGGGTGCTTCCGCGAATTTTTATGAGGAAAGGCGATCACTGGAAAGAGATGTCTTTCTATTAAAGTGTAGCTGCCCCCGAAACAAGAGCGAGGGGTAGCAAATTTATATCAGAGTGAGCAAATCCTAAAAATCTCCAAAATTTTACACAAAAACTAGCTAAATATGCATATTTTTAGGTTCATTCGGATTCTTTAAGGAGGCTACAGCCCCCTGGCTGAGTCAGATGGTGGAATCTTAGTTTTTACAATCTCAGTTCTTCATTCACTGATCAATCACTGTAAACGGAATTTTATGCTGTTAATAGCTGCAGATTTGTAGAAATTAAAATATTGTACGTGATTACGAGTATAATGCTTGCAAGTGAATAAAAAGTTTGTGTTAATAATTCGAGAAACAAATGTCCAAATTGCTCGTATAAATGTTTTGTAAATTATGTTTTTCTGAGAAACTAATAATTCTATGAGCCATTTTTTGCGTAACCTACTTACCCCTGATAGCTAGCCTGGCCTCGTTGATAATTTCAGCGCTGGTTTTTCTTTGCTGCGGAGGTTCGTAGAAAGGCACGAAGGGCCCTCTGGTGCCCTTAGTAGCACTCACATCTCTCTTGCTCGTCTCCATATCCACCAGGCACTACTTTTACATCCTACTCAATCCTCGATACTTTCAATTATGGACGAGCAGCGATAATTTGTTTACGATGAACGATTGGAGGGTAGTGGTTGCATTTATGTGTCGTAGAATAAGGAGTGGAAAAGTATTGATTATTCCGCTGGGGGTTGGAGGTTGAGAGATCGATAGCAGGGTGGACACGGCCACGCGAGCGACAAGGGAAAAGAGTCGTTCGTTGACACCTGCCGTCATTGTTATGGTGAATGTAGGTTACGGGGCTAGGGATATGTTTTGGCTTCAACATTATTGGAGAACCGATTGTTGCCGATGTCAGTTTATGGGACACTCTCGCAGACAACGACATAAGTTCAAATGGTGCGTTGCGGAAAGCGAGAACAACTGCCGCACATCCACGGTCCTGAAGGCATAGTCTTCAGAACAGAGGATAAGGTCGAGGTTTTCGCTGACGCCATGGAAAAACAGTTCTCTCCCAACTATGATCTTGAGAATGACCTTGACGGGGAACAACACATTGTAAGATCCGTCAGGAGATATTTTAGGGCCAACGGCGTTAGCGGAGGCACTGTATCTTCTTCAGAGGAATCATCTGAGGCTTCGCATAGCATATTAGAGGAACCCTCCGAGGTTCCACATTGCACTCTAGTGGATCTCCTAGGTCTTATTAAAGACCTCAAAGTGCGTAAAGCACCTGGGGAGGATCAAATCACCAACAAAGCGCTGAAGCTGCTCTCGCCGAAAGCTCTGACATATTTGGTGAGAATAATCAATGCGATGCTCAGAACCCAGCACTTCCCTGCGGGGTGGAAGACTGCTGAGGTCATCATGATTCCAAAGAAGGTGAGTTCGATATTTCCTCAGGATTACCGTCCCATTAGTCTGCTGTCAGCTCCTTCTAAGCTCGCCTAAAAGGTGATTTATCGCCATCTTGAGAATTTTTCGACAAATTACCATGTGATTCCTGACGTTCAATTCGGTTTTCGGTCCGAGCATAGCATCGAGCTACAGGCAGTCAGGGACATGTAACCAGAGGGTTCACCCACATCATGAGTACTGGCATCTTGCTTTTGGATGTCTCAAAGGTATGGCACGGGGGCCTCCTTTATAAACTAATCTAAAAGGGTTTTCCTTCTTGGCTTCTAAAATTACTCAAATCCTTTCTTGAAGGAAGGAAGTTTCGGATGAAAATTAACAATGTTTTGTCAACAACACGGCCAGTACCGGCCCTGTGTTACTCAGGGTTCGATCCTAGGACCAATCCTTCATTCGCTTTTTATCCATGATGTCCCTTGCCCCAGCAACTGTGAAGTCTACCTCTATGCTGACGACACTGCACTTGTCGCCCAGTCGTGTGCTGGTGATCTGGTTCACGATGGGTTGCAGAATGAGGTAGAAGAAGTACTAGAGTGGGCGGAACGGTGGCTGATTAAAATTAATCATTCGAAAACGCAAGCTATTTATTGTACCAAAAAACGTCGCGACCCTCCAGCAGAGGTTTCTATAGACGGCAATCGTGTACCAAGGACAAATTCTGCCTAGTATCTCGGTGTCACTCCTGATAAAGGCATGACCTGCCAGAAACATACAGCAGCCTTGAAAACAAAATTCCAAATTGCGTTTCGGCAACTATATCCTTTTTTATGTAGATCCACCAAATTGAGATTGATAAACAAAGTTCGCTTATATAAAATGATTATTAGACCAGCCATCAGCCATTACGTATGCATGTGCGGCTTGGTGTTTTCTTGCCAAGACACAAAGTCTTCAAGTACTGCAAAGTAGAACTTTGCGAACAATTTGCAACGCTCCATAGTATGTCTCAAACGAGACACTACAAACACAGATACCTTGACATTCCTTACTTGAGGGATTATGTCAAGCTTCAGGCGCAGCGACGTTATAGTCAAGCGGAATCGCACAGCAACCTTCTGTTGCGCGACTCAGTGGACTAAACATTCAAGGCCACGGCTCACACTGTAATCAAAAATTAACGCGAACTTTTAGTAAACTTAAAATTACACTTCAACAAAACCGAATCAAAATTTGTTTAGTTCACCTCAAAATTAATCCGTGTACCAAGTCAAAAAGCCTATGTATTTTCTCTTAAACTAAACACTTTTTATGCTCTTCTCCTTTTTTCTTGTCTTTCCCTTTCTCCTTTTCCTTGACGTTGTCTGGTTTCTGGGCAACCAGGACTGACAGATCCGACTAACGTACATTAGGCAGTGACTAATGGGCAAAGGTCCTACGGACCGCCCAGACCAACAAATGAGGAATAGTATTAAGTAAATGAATTATAAAATTCTGCACTTCCCACGCAACGCTGCTCTCAGTGCATAAAAATACGTTCAGAGAGGCGGATGATCGTTTTAGATCACTAGCTAAGATGCAAAGCAAAAAGTTCTTGCAATCACTCGAGGAAGAGAGTTTGTTCTTCGGGACGTGACCGTCGATGTTCGAAATTCACTTTCAGGACAAGCAATCCCAAAAACGGAGAAATAAATACCAACAAACGTACAACATCGAATGCACGGATCGCAATATACAAAAGTGACTAGATGAGAGAACATTTTTAAACTTATTTCACCCATCAGTATGGAAATAACGAAAGTTTAAAAATGTTCACTCATCTAATACAAAGCAAAAAATTCTTCAGGACATAAATGTCGATGGTCGAAATTCTCTTTCAGGGCAAGCCATCCCAAAACGGAGAACAAAATGGCGTCAAGTAAGTTGACTCTGCACTTCCCAAGCTACGCTCATCAGTTCGTAAAGGATTATGTTTGGCACAAGTTCGCCCTTCTGAGAAAAAGGTTAGCTATGTTCATGCATAACACAAAAATTTAATGACCTTCCTCCTTCCCCTGAGAGGAATTGCTATAGGCGCACATGACCAATCCCACGTGAATGACGATATTGGCTTTCGCCATGCACAGTAAATGCACGGGGAATCTATGATGTGTGCAATATGTCTAATTTGTGCGTAGAATTACTGGGGTTGGTGGCATATAAATATAACAACGTCAAAAATTGAGATACATCCCCCCAACTACAATTTTCAAGGATCGTCTGAAACGTCAAAAAACGAAGTTTGAAGTTTGAGCAATTTTTCTTTTTTTTTCTTTTTGGCCTTTTTCTCCGCCGCCGCTGGACCGATTCTCGAAAACCTCAAACATTTTGCATCTTTGGCATGTTAGTAACATTGTGTAAATATTTCAAATTCGTAACAATTTCTTTTAATAAATTATGTTTTGCCCCGAAAAGACTTGTTACAGTTTATTGGATCATTCCGAACAAAAAAGGCTTCAATGAACTTTTCTCTAAAGCTGACCATTTTCGAGTTATACGCGACTCATTGTCTGAAAACCCCGAAAAATGGGTATATATTTAATGCTTAAAAACTCTTGATACATATATTTGTTTCGGTCGTCAAGTATCTAAATTGAAGTTTAGACCTTGCCTAAAAGACCCCGAAGGGTATTTTGAAATTACTTCTAAAGAAATATTTAACCTTGTCTGTTAGGCCCACATTTGCGAACTCTACCGTAACATGTGAACGTATCATACATTGGTGGTGATGACACGGTTTGCTCTGGATAGTGCTGGATGGGATGCTACTGGTTCCAGAGAAAATTCGGAAATGGGGGAAGCTCTTTAACTAACAGTCTGCATTTGATGCTGGCGCAGTGTAGCTTCTCCTGCGAACGAATTTTTCTCCAACAATCTACCATAGAAAAAGTTCCGCTATTCTTTTAATACGTCAAACGAGCGTGGTCGACGTTGTGGGACGGTTAAGAGAAATAGTCCAGTGAAATTAATCTCGCAAGTTTTTTCGGTTAATCACGTGAACGGGAGCATTTCACGTGATCAGAGCCGCTTTCCAGTACTTTTGGATTGAGAGTTGAATGCACCCGGAGTGTGACGATCCAGAACTGCCCTAGCAAATGGGCACGGGAACGCAACGATAAAAACGTGTCTTATCTTTTGATGGTTTGCTTTGACGTTGTCAGTTTATGATCACACTGTCAGAAAATATTTATTCTTTTGTGTTTAGGATTCGAATATTTTTAGTCTGAAGCTCATGTGTGAATGGATTCATATTTTAGTGTAGACATTTAAAATTATTCTTAAAGTGTCTAGTTAATTATAGATGAAGCCACTGTGAACTTGCCTTCTTGCGCTCTCTTATAATCTTCATTATTCATGAACATCTCAAATGTATGTTGTGACTCCGGGCCATACATCATCAGTTTTTTACCATCCTTCATTGTCTGGTATCGGTTTAATGCGAGTCTAATAAAAAAATAAAAAGATAACCTAACAAGCTTGACAAACTGTTTGTCATTTTCGTTATCCTCACTATTTCGGAGCATATAATACTGAATAAAAGGCTAGTGCATGAGGGGGCAGGGGCTTCAAATAATGAGTACCTCAGGTGCATGACACTCTAGCGCAGTGGAACGGTATAGGTGTTGAGCAGTACCGTGTGACTGAGGCATAGGAAAGCGGCTCAGGCTCATTAAGGAAAATAGACAAGTGATATTAACTTCCCAAAGTTTTTTAGATGCATGGCACGCGCACTCGTTACTTCCAAGTGGATTTAGGAAAATAGTCCAGTGAAATTGTAGATTTGTTGACTACTGATAACTATGATATTATGGGTATCTCCGAAACATGGATTAATCATGATTTTACAGTAGATATAGTAAATATTCCTGAGTACACTTTTTTCCATACTGATCGAGTAGGACGTGGAGGAGGAGTTGGTGTTTATTTAAGGGATTCACTTAGAGGTAAGCTGGTATTGCAAGATTTTTTATGTTCAGATGGTATGGAGCAGGTTTGTACTGAAATAGTGTTGAATAATCTAAAAATTTTGGTTTGTGTTATCTACAGAGCTCCTTCGAGCAGATTATCAAGTTTTATTGATCATATAGACAACTTTTTCTCATTTGTGTCTCCTCAGTATGATAATATATGCTTGCTGGGTGATATAAACGTTGATCAACTTACTGACCATTCTTTTCTAGATTGCATTGCGTGCTACGATATGGTATCGCACATCACCCAACCAACTAGGATAACTTTAACCACGGCAACCTCCATAGATGTCATTTGTACAACAAATAACTTAGTTGAATCATTAATTTCAACTAGCTCTGCACCTGTTCCGAATTTGTCAGATCATAATGTAGTCAGATGTGACTTCAACATCACACGGCCTAAGAATTTTCAAAAGACTGTCAAATATAGAGACTTTAAACACTGTTGTAAAGATCAGTTTTTGGTCGATTTGTATAAAATCCCATGGGACGATATATATTACATCAGTAACTTAGAGGATAAAGCTACGTTTTTTTCTAATCATATTTTGGATTTGTTTGATGTCCATGCTCCTGTTGTTTCAGCACGTATTACTAAACCTTATGCTCCATGGCTCACAGGTGGCATAAAATTTTTGATCTCTGAGAGAAATAAAGCCTTTAGAAAATATCAGATTTTAAAAAGTCCAGCTAGTCTTGAATATTGCCAGAAATTAAGAAATGATGTCATTTCCGCTATTAGGCGGGAGAAAGCAGCATATCTAAGCTTCAATGAACAACTAAATAGTAACAAGCATCTCTGGAAAGCTGTACATTCATTGAAACTCAAAACTAATGTAGATAGATCTTTACCTACACAGTTGAAAAATGCCGATGAAGTAAACAATTATTTTTCTTCCGTTTTCACGCCTTCGGGCAATTGCAAGGATCTAGTTGATAAATTTAATAGTACCAAAATTAATGAAAGTGCTAGATTTGAATTTAGTTTTGCTACCCCACAAAATGTGCTAGACATTATTCTGTCCCTAAAATCTAATGCAGCAGGTTCGGATGGTGAAGCTTTGCTTGCCTCGAGTATTACTACCCCTGACGCATTTATTGAACTGTTGCCTGGAGGCTGGGTATTTCCCTGATGCTTGGAAACTATCTCTTGTCAAGCCCTTGCCTAAATGTAAAAATCCAAAATGTCTCTCAGACTTAAGACCTATAACTTTGATTCCTGTTATATCGAAGATATTGGAGAAATTGATTAAACATCAGGTTTATCATTATTTCTCTAATAATGATTTCTTTCCCAAGTGTCAATCTGGTTTCCGCAGTGGTTTTAGTACAACTACAGCTTTAGCAAGGGTTTTAGATGACATCATTGCTTCGCTTGATAAGGGAGATGCTTCAGCACTTGTATCATTAGATTATTCTAAGGCGTTCGATAAATTAGATCATGAGCTTTTATGTGCTAAATTGAAGTTTTTTGGTATTTCAGACATACCTTTAATGTTTTTTATAACATATCTTTCAAATCGTAAACAAGTAGTAGAGATAGACAACACTATATCTAGTCCGATTGATATAACATCAGGTGTCCCTCAGGGTTCAGTTTTAGGGCCCTTGTTGTACTTAATTTATACTATAGACTTGGGTAGCTCTGTGAAAAACTCTTCTGTGATGTGCTATGCCGATGATACACAGATATATAAGAGCTTTAATAGTAACACTTTGCATACTTCAATCAATGAGCTTAATGATGATTTGGAGGCAATAGTAGGATACTCAAATGGTAACAATCTTAAGCTCAATATAAGTGCTTAGTGATGCTTTTTTGTCCTGCTGTCAAACGTAACACTATATTGTATTCTCTTGATGTAAAAATTGACAAGGAGCGTCTAGCTGTCGTAAATACTACAAAAAATTTAGGGTTGATTATTGATTATACTTTACGGTTTAAGGAGCATGTTTCGTCTATCTTAAAAAAATGTTATGCAACGTTGAAGTGTTTTTATGTCAATCGCTCTATTTTGAATTTTAAAGTTAGAAAAAAGTTATGTGAGGCTTCCAAGCTTATTTTACTGTAGCACTGTGTTCTATCATTGTCTTGATTCTATCACAAAAGCAAGACTCCAAAATACTTGTTGTCGATTTGTATTTAATCTCAAGAAGTATGATCATGTTTCCTTAAAGAGATTTCAGCTTGGTTGTATGTGTATAGAAAATGCTTGCAAGTACCATATAGCAGTGTTTACACATAAGATCATATCTTCTAGATCCCCCTTGTATCTTTATGAGAAATTTGTTTTCAGACGAAATAATTCAGACATTGATTTCAGACACAAAAAAAGACTAGAGATCCCTATGTATAAAACAACTTTATTTCGTAGTTCATACACTTACAATGCTATCCTGATTTATAACGAATTAGATGACAATATAAAGGATTGGCCAGTAAACAGATTTCGTAAGCATGTGAAACAGATTTATTTGTCATTGTAGTAATTGTGGAAAAGTTAGTTTTTAATTCTTACATTTTATTTTATTTTATGTAATATATGTGTGTATATATGTATGCTAGGAAACTATCAAGCTCGTTGTTTTGAAGCGTCTTTTGCTGCTTGTCAAAGTTTCCTTTGATTGAGTGTTTCAATTTATTATTTGGGTAGGTTAAGTAGAGTAGCCAAGAGCTAGACTTCGCCTACGTCGAGGTCACATTATGTTGTAGTGTATATAATGTGCCTAATAAAGACATTTTATTATTATTATTATTATTATTTAAATAAACTTCTCAAGGTAATTTTTTTATACCGAAGCAGCTGCGCAGGCAGAAGCCTAAATGCCGGGACACCGCGGCTGCTATAAGGATCCCAAAGAAATTTTGTTAATCCGATTTTTGAACTGCCTAAGGCTTGTAGAACCGGGAAAAGCTTCCTCTTGTACTTGAACGGTCGTACCGGCCAATTCTGGATGTACGAAGTTCGACACGGTTAGGATGGAACACCAAAGTCTGGCGGGTCTGTCTGGCAGGCAGATCGCGCGGCGGCATCATGGAAGAGAGCTCTGAGGAGCAAAGCCCCTTGATGTAGCGGTAGAACAGAGCTAGATCGCCGACGGCCCGCCAGTGCGAAAGGGTGGACGCTTTTTGTGGCTAAATGGCGAGCGTAGTCGACGCCGTGGGTGGATTAATAGAAATTCTGCAGTCTATGTCGTCGGGTGAACATTGGCGCATTTAGAGGGGAAGAGGGCGCGAGACGCTAGTCTACCATTTTTTTTTTAAGAAAATCATCTATTCCTGTATCTTACTGTAAAAATTACCTTGCCAGCTCTTCAGTTGATACAAGGGCATTTGCTCTCACAGGCTCAGCTCAAGTGCTGCATGCAGCCATTTCCCCTCCCTACAGACATCGGTCTTCCAATCATGCGACCACCGCTGCACCCCTCCTCCTCCAGACAGATTCTTAAATCCGCACTTGTGAGTGAATTAAATGAATTAGTCTGGAGAAATTAAGTACACAGTTAATCGGTAAACGCTTCGAACAGTTCTAAAATAATAGCAGGGTCACAGCTAACTTTCAGTTACCAGTGGAGTAACTGTCAACAACTTCGAGTTACGAGCAACGAGCATTGAAACAAAATTAGAATAATAGTATACTTTATTAATTACGACCTTATCGGTACAATCATTCACTTATCTACATTTGACACAATTTCAAACCACTGCCTAAGTGCATCACTTAACACATTTGGCAAGGAATTAATATCCCTCAAGATAATATAAAAGGAGAAAGGGAAGAAGTCCATATAGCTTAATATTCCCAATAACTTCCCATCTTTAAACAACGGCATCCTTATATCCAATACAGAGCTTTTGTTCTCCGGATTGTCAACAATGACGAACACCGCAAATATGTCGGCCAACTTGGCTCTTCTCACAGCTTGTCGGACGTAAGTCTCGCCTTCTGAAAACACACCCCTGCCATCACTAACAATCACTAGGAGCTTCGCGTTGACAGCTGCGGTCTGCTTCTGCGATTGGTTGAACATCTCTGTGACGAAATCCACTAGCTTCCCCACATTGGTTTTTGTCTCGTCGAACCTGAATTTCTGTAGTAGCTTTGTACCACTGCGATCAGTAAACTGTTCCGTCAGTTTGTGGATCACCTCTACTCTTTCACCTGTAACAAAATGGAATGAAAACATATATTCGGGGAATTTTACCGGAGTGTCTCTTAATTCGACCAACTGCATCGAGTACGATCATTTGTAAAATAAACTTACAAAGTTAGTTTCACATTATACAGTATCCCAAAAGTCATGAAGCAAACGAAAGCGGGCTATCTGCAATTTCATCTGTTGTCAATAAAAATACAGCATATTCAACGAGGCATGTATAAAAAATTAGTAGGCGGATAAAATGTCCATAGTGATGAAAAACTTCCCAATACTATGGCCTTTCAAAATACCTATTAGATAATATCCTCAAAGTAGACAAAATGCTGCAGGTACCCTAAATCTTTATCTTAACCCATCAACTGCCGTTTTTGATTTTCCAGCGGGTTGAAAGAAATTTTCTGTGACAACGCATAGCTTGCATTAGAGCAAAAGAAAGACACTTGGAACATCTCCTGTAAATATCGCCTAATAAAAGAAGGTCTTTTTTCAGAGCCGCAACATCTTCTAAAAAAAAAGAATGACCCCTAGGATATAGGTGGTGAAAACTCAAGCATCACATTCATGGGATCTAAGTGTTTGCTTATCCTATTTGGAAGAAAGAAGATCAACAATAGTAGTTCAGGAATTAAGTTTAAAAAATGGGAATTTCCGGATTTAGGGTACCTGCAGCATTTTGTCTACTTTGCGCAGAAACTATTTAGGATATTTGATTATCTAAGGTATTTTAAAAGGCCATATTATCGAAAGTTTTCCATCACTATGAACACTTTATCCGCAGACTAATTTTTTGCACAGACCTCGTTGAATATGCTGTAATCTTTTTCACAACAGACAAAATTGTAGATTAGCCGATTGTTGTACTTTCTAAATCATTAGAGAACATATTCTGTTAATCTGATTGAAAAATAACAAAAAAGAGTTCAGAAAAAAGATAGTACAGACTCAAAAGTAGTGATTTTCCACAATTTCTTAAAAATGATAACTCAAAAGCCGTGCTCAATCGGATAAGTACATATGTGATTTTTAACCCATACAAAAACTTTTCTGAAAATGATCAGAAGCCTCTCGTTTTTTTGCCACTAGCTCCGCCGTCACTGGGCCGACGTTCGAAAACAACAAAGCTTTTTCGTCCTTGGAATATTAGTAACTTTGTGTGAAAATTTCATCTAAATCCATGCGGAGCTTTCCCTGTTATAGGCGGTCTAAAGATTAACGGACAGACTGACAGACAGAGAGACCGACCGAAATGAGTGGCATGGTTTTTTCGTGATATACATGTCATATAACATCCAAAAAACATCTCACTTTTGACATTTTCCGTGATTCCAATACTTCCTCGCCAGTAGGCGTGGGAAGTAAAAATTGATATATTTTCATTAAACATCGGTATAAATCCCACCTTGTGTACTAAGGAGTCGCTGATCCATTCCGCACCTACTCGTTATGAACTCCGCCTATTTTTTTTTTTATACTCCGACTACCACGAAGGCCTAAGGCCTAAGCACCCATTGGGTACCGTGGGGCTATAGGGGGATACATGGAAAAGGGGGGACGCCACACGGACTCTGGCGAGGGAACACGTGTGCATGCAACATGCACACATTCTGGCTCCGCCTACAAGAACCGCCGGGTGGTACCTCCGCGTTCGACTGTCAGAGACCATCTACCACCTACGGACAATCACAACATCCATAGCCAAGAGAAAAATTTCTCCTGGGACGGGACTCGAACCCTCACAGCGCACGGCGACTGATCAGGAGACCGAAGAGTCTACTACTGCGGCCACCGCTGCTGCCTAAAACAAACACACAACATCCATAGCGAAGGCGAGATTCGAACTCGCGACCCGGCCGGCCGGCTGATCAGTAGCACGACACTCTGACCCACGCGGCCAACCGAGGTCCCCTTTGGTGGCACAACAACCGTCATTCGGGAAATAGTATACATAGTACATAAAGCTAAGGCCGTAAAGCTATTAATCGCCCTCACTAGCTAGATGTTACATCACATCAGAGCCAAACCATATACGAGTACCTCAAGTGTCATGTCGTTTAGGCAATACGCACAGCATGAAGTGCTGTCGCTAGTTTCATTACGAATCGATATGTCACCTTTTAAGTTACGTAATACGGGAGCCGGACTTCAATGAACGGATCATAATTTCACCCTACCAGGTTAAGCATGCTCTTCATAGTGCCTTGCTTCAACCTCCGAGTACAAGTAACCACTGATATGAAGGATAACTTACCAAAACTGACAACAGAAAGTTGTCCACTCTCAAGCAGCGTGAGTGCTTTCGAAATAAGTGCAACACTTTCAAAAGCTAATTCCCTAGAGTGGTTGTCCGCCATACTGGAAGAGTCATCAATGGCTATCACGATCTGGTAGTCTCTTTTTGATGGTTTCGTTCTTCTGAGCCAAATCTTGTCTTTTCTGAATTGGGAAGCGATGTACGGTATCACCTGAAAACAGAACAAAATCTGTAACGATAGCTAAAACAAATATACAGTGTGGTACAGTATGCTGTCCGGAAAAACTATGAAAAGAGTTTATGTAAACACATGTACGGAAATTATTAAAAAATAGTCGATCTGGCACTTTTTTAACAAATAAAATACAAAATACACTTTTGAATCAGAGAAATGGCTTTGAGATAACGATAATTTCGCAAAAATCAATGGAGCTAAAAATTAAAAACATAAACGCTTCATGTAAGGAAAACGCGGATTTTCGGGGCAATATTTATATCCACCTTTTGATGCGCGTCACCTAATCCTTGCTATAGAAAGGGCCAGATTTGACATCAAAGATTTTTTCTTATCCTGGGGCTATAAATTGGTACTTGGTTATTTTTAGAATTCTGTTTGTCTTACGAGAGCTGGACCAAATCGATTCGTTCAAGAGTCCTTTCGATTCCAATTCCCGCAATTCCTAAACGTACCATCGGTGTTAATGAGCGCTAAACAGCAACTAGTCCAGAACTGAATATTTATCGATTCCGATGGTTCTGAACCCGAACTCGATGGTATCGATAAAATTTATTATATATAACTGTTTGAAATATGTACTTACTTTTGTGGATTCGGATATTGCTTTTCATATTAAAGGTTCTAAATGATGAACGAGCTACTATAGGTATGATGTGGATATATTTTGCTGTTGGACGGTGACGGGATTGTAGCGAGAAATCGATTGGTAGAGGCGTTGAGAGGTTCAACTGATACCCTTCTGCAAGAGCTTTTTGACACTTTTATATAATCTCTAATGTCCTATATCACTGCCTTCAGACCTGACTTGAAATATTCTGTGACTTTTCATTCGGCCTTGAGGGTGAAGGAGTCATTTACAATTTCGCTAGCCACTATTTCCGTTGGAGATGGTTTTGCTGCCTGGAATGCTTTACAGTTTGCTTTCTTCTCTATGAATAAACCTTTTATCACCCATCGCACATCATTTCATAATATTCTGAGAATGTCTCCCTTTGATATTGAAGAGTTAATTACATTAATTGGCAAAAAAGTTGCAAAGTTAGCCATATACTTCAGAGCTTTAATTTCTGTTAAGGATCGATTAGCGGTTCCTTGTTTCTAGGGACAGTTATCAAAGCTTAATGTACTTATACATTTATCCAGCGTCTCAAAACAAATTCCTTATCTACAAATACGTCATTCACTCATCTACTAATTTGGTACAAAAGCCTAGCAGACTAGCAAGGCGAAAATAGAAAATACAACACGACCGTTGTCACTAAACAGACTCGAGTTTCAAAACACGTTGAAACCTTTTGATGTGACTGCTTCCGGGCTGGACACGGAAAACAAAACTCCAACTGACGCACAACACGCTAGTCTTCAAAAAGTTTGCGAAAAGTTTCAGTTTTGTTTTATTCGACAAGACTTTATTTTTTGTTTTGTCAGTTTAGTGGAAAATCGCCATAAAGGAAACCCCCAACTTTAAAAACGTCGAAAAGGATTGACAAAATAAAACAAACCTTCCTCATGTTGATCCTCCTGCCCGTCCTGAAATCACCCTTCAACCTGCTGGCCAAAGTGGGTTCTAGCACCAGTCTCAACTGTTCAGACAGTTCCTGTGCCAGGCCTCCAGTGACCGATGATATTTTCTGCCAAGCTCGTTCAGCTTCCGCACAGCTTGGAGGATCACTCCAAGCTGCCAGCTGTTGTTCAACTTCTCCCCGGACGGCTACCATCTCCGCCATGGTCAACCTGGAAGCAGTGGTGGCGGATATGTCTGCGAAGGAGGTGTGGTGGGTAGTTTCCGTAGGTCGAGGGACTGTGGTCGTTTGAACTACTTCGCCTTCTACCTGGATTTCTTTAGTTTCTTCCAGAACGTCGCCTGGAAGGGAAATCAATGTTCAGTCCAATATGTGTATAAAGGCGGACACACAATATTATCACGTCAAGTCAACTCATGAGCTGTTACGCAAACTCACGTGCGTCAGTATGGAATACAGGGTGTCACAATATTCCCTGGACATAGAAGTACCATGTATGTTTAGATTCAAAATAAGTAATATCATACTTGTTTATTTTCGTTAACTACACTTAAAGAATCAGTAAGACGCTAGAGAACGTGTAGAAGCAACTTACTTTTTTTTTATAGGAGACAAAAAGTGAAGTAATTAAAAAGGTATGCGAAATAAAAAAAATCAGATTCGTCTGGAAAGTTGCCAAAAAACTTTCCTATAATTTATGTAGGGATGGGGGTTTTCGCTCTTCTCGAATCCTTTAGAGTTTTTCGTAGAAGTCAAATATTAGACCGTCTAGCAAAAAATGTGTTTCAAATTTCATGCAAGTAGGACTGTCGGTTCATAAAATGTTTTGAAAAATGGACTTTAACAAGAAAACAGTGTTCGAATTTAAAAATGTTCAAGGTAAAATTAAGAAATACTTTATGAATACCCAAAATGCATAGTGATGTAGGCAATAGACAAGAATGTAAAATTTCCTAAAATTAAAAAAGATGTAAACGAATACTTATACAAAAATGCTAAATGCTAAATAAATCTTCATCAAACAAATAAACAAACAGTTGTTGAAAATAGTTCTGATACACCACTGAATTTCATCATGATTATTTTTCAATATACCTTCTGGATGTTGTCCTTTCTTGCCCTGTTTCTCCTTTGCTTCCTCAACTTTTTCAGCATGTTCTTTAGGAACATCGCTTATTTCCATTTCCTCTACTTGCTCCTCAGGAATCTGCTCAGATGAGTCTGCAACCTCTTCTTCAACTACCTCCTCATCTTTATGTTGAGCTTCTATTTTCTGAGATTCTGCTTGCTCCTTTGTAGCGATATCCAGAATCTATAAAATATTATCGAACAACAATTTATTATAAAATGCATTAGCGATTCTCTTGAACATCTGAGGTCAATATAATAAATACTTGTGTAGCATGTTTTTTTCTTGTTTTCCTTCCAAGAACAAGTTGATTCGAATCTGCTCGAGGCTGGGCTCAACAGACAAGTTATATCAAATCAATATATATGGAATAAATCTTGAATGAATACCTGAATTTTGGATTCCTGTCCCTCTTTGATATGCTCATACATTTCAGCGGTCTGTTCCGCATCATCTTCAACGTCCTTCGGCTCTTGCTCTTTACTATTTTTAGATTCAACCGTCTTCAATTTTTTTCTGACCGGTTGATCAACATCCCCAAGAGTCCTTTGAGAATCGGAATCTCCTGGCTTTTGTTTAGTTTCTTCTTCAGCCTCTCTCTTTGACGACTTCGTATCTTGGGGAGCGCTGGTAGAGGCGGAATGACCTGTGGTGCTTTCTTCCATCTGAGCCTGACCTGCTCCATCTTTATCTGGTTTATCTTCTTGTTGGACATCTGTGGCTGTATTTGGTTGTTGCACATCGGACTGTGTTGCCTCAGTCTATAAAAAATCAGAAAATTTAGATACCTTTTTAAAATAAATCTGAAACAACATTCTGGTTCTTCGAAACGTACAGCACTTTCAAGTCGCTCTAATGAATAAGACGACATTTGTATTATCAATAATGTCATATTTGCAGACAGAGAGACCGGCTGAAATCCATTACGTTTCGAAGAACCATATCTATGTTCATAATTTGATATCAAAAACATATGAGTGTGCTTTACCCGTCCACAAGAAAACTATTATACACTCAAAATTGTTCACTGGAGAACGAGACTGCTTCTCCAGTAACATTACTATAAGGAAAAGATGTGTTACCTTATCAGCTGCATTAGCTTCGTCTGTTTCCATAGCTTCAACATTATCCTGATGGCTCTGTGTTTGATCCAAAGCTGTATCATCGGTATTTTCTGTTTCATCATCTTTTTCTGCGTTATCTGCTTCCTGGTTTCCTTTGTCTTCACTATCTTTCTTCTCACTTTCTTCTGTTTGCTCCATTTCCTCGGTATCTTGATCACCTTTCTTGATATCTTCATCGTCACTGCTAAACTCTTCAGCTTCATCATCTGTTAAAAATTTGTTTTGTAGCTGAGTTTTCTGCAGTCTATTTACATGACAAAGTATTAAGTTATGAGAAAATCAACTGTCATGAAATTATTGATTAATTCAGAAATCCAGCTTTTTGTGCATTTTATTTGAGTTTTTGCGTGGTTACTCACTTTTGTCTTTTAATTCCTCGTCAGGTTTGTCAGCATCATCTTCTTTTTGTTCTTCAGGCATGTTTTGTTCTTTCATTGCATCCACATCAAACGGGTTGTCCTCCTGTTCTTCCTGTTTATCATCTTGCTGACCCTCGTCCAACTGAAGATCATCTGGAAGATCCATTGGTTCAGGCTCCGGTAATTCCTTTTGGTTACCATGGTGTGGATCCACTTGATCATCATCCAACTCTGGTTCTTCCATTTCATTTATGTCTTTCTTACTCTTATCTTTTGCTTCGGGGCTTTCATCATCGTCTTTTTCTTGTTGGTCTTTTGATGGATTTTGTTCTTTAGCACCTAGCTGACTTTCACCTTCTTTCTCGCCCTTATCACCCTTTTCCTCCTCTTGGGACTCTAAAACAGATAGCATCCAACATATTACAAGCTTCCGGTATTTTGGTTTCTGCCTACGCGTTTGCTTCAGCATACTAAAATACCCTAATATTTCCTATTTTAGTGAAAGGCTATAAGACAGTTTATCTTATAGGCCATAAGTAAAGTAAAAAGATAAAACAGTTCAAGTTAATTTAACGCAGCTATCTTAACAAGCTGAAAAATGACAACTAAAGAAGTGTACAACTTCGAACAAGGTGGATCAGTTGTGTTTATTCTCTATCTAAAATAATTGCCAATTGTTTCTTATTTCTACGGTTTTGTTTGTACTTACCTTGATCATCATCTTCCTCTTCCTTATCATCTCCCCAAATCTCCTGATCCAGTTGATCAGCGCCTTTTTCTGTTTCGCCCATTTGTTCATCAGCATCTTCGTCATCATCAGAGCTCTTCTCACTGTCATCTTCTTCTCCTTTTTTATCCACGTCCTGCATCTTGCCTCCGAAATCCTCACTCATTTCTATACCTGTAAGGAGAAAAATAATGACTTACAACTGAAGTTGTGTATCAGCTGTTACAATTCTGTTTGAATACGTTGCAACTCAGGTGGGTATTACAAATATCTAAAAAGAACCATACCTTTCTCTTCCTCTTTGCATTCCTGATCTTCTTCCAGTTTCTTCTCTTGCCCAGCAGGTTGAGCATCTTCCAGCTGGTCTTCTGATTCTATTTTATCGGAAACATCTCTTTCTCCTTGACCTTCTCCTAAGCCCATTCCATCAGACGGCTTGCTCACACCTTCTTTGTCCATTTCATCAGAAAGCTCTGGTGGTGTGCAAAAAACCCTAAAAGAGAATATGATGCCAAATAGAATTCTAAACTTTATTCTCTCAGTAACAAACTTGTTGCCATCATCTTACAAAATACAAGCTTTCTATTGCAAGTGATCTGAAACATGTACTGTACTGAGAGATATAAGTTGTCCTCGCATCTAATCGAACTTTTACTTACCTTCGATGCAAGTTCAATGAAGATGTTTAGCAATATAGACATCATCTTGCAAGTAACTCTGTATGTAGCCACTTGTTGTGTTATAAAATACTGGTAAAATTGAGTAAGTTGTTCTAGTAGAGGTAGGGACTGGTTCGCGACCTTCTTTACTTGTTCTGTATATTGAGGTGGAGTAGATAACACGATTTTAGCTAGTTTATGGGTCCTAAAAAAGGAAGTTTCGAAAACATAAAATCATATTCCTGTTCAGAATGATTTAGTAACCAAGAGCCAAGATCCAGACCTATTAAACATTAATTTACGTTTTAGTAAAGCATCACTCACCTTGCAAGAATTTTTTTCATTTCTAAACTAGATATATCCGAGACGAGATTTTCAACCAAAAGCTTCTTCAAATTTTCATCTCTTAGCTCCACTGGTTCATCTTCCGTATCTTTGTTCTTTTCAACTTTCTCCACAGCAGAATACTTTTTATACATATTTTGTATGACCACAAGCACTGCCTCGGTCAATTTCTCTGAACGTTTCTTACATTTTCAAAATTGATGTCCAAAGATTTACTTTCCTTACACTGTTCTAGGATTCTGTTAACTTCTTTTAGCAGCCAAGTGAGACTGTTAGTTGTAGAGTTATTGTCGAAGATTTCTTTCAAATGTCCAATACCATCTTTAATACTATCTAGATTTTTCAATATCTCGTTAAGATCTGGCACTGGTATGAATTCGGGTACGACCAAGTCGTACTCCACTGCTGGTGCCGACTTTTTGCACTTTTGCAAGATCCCGCTTATTTTTCTGCAAACTGCTAGTAATTCGTTGATCAGTGCCACAGTTTCAGACCAACAGGTGCTATCTTTATTATAGATCGCTTCTTTACCACCGAACTTCAATACAGGTATTTCCATCTTACTACTACTAGTGAAATCGTCTTCTGAAGGGCAAGTGTTTAGAATGATTTTATACTGATTCAAGATCACCGTCGCGTTTTTCATAAATGTCGTTATGTTATTAGTTAATTCAATATGTAAAAAATCATTTCCTTCACAGAATTCATTCATTTGTAATAAATAGTACCGTAAGTAGTAGTACAGTCTGCTAGATTGTGTCAGTTGCTGCTTTTGATGTTGAGCTAGAGCCTGAAAACAATAGTACATTATCTACCTAGGTTGAGCAGTCAGCTATTTTTGTACGAGCTTCCTATTATCTGGATATCTGGAATATTGACTTGTTGAATATACACAAAAAATGGTAGTGTGGTATGAAATAAATTAATATGGCATAGAACACTTACTAATAGATGAGCGCTAAATCCTTTACATCTTTCTATGTTTTGAGGGCCTAGTTCTTTGGAAGGATTTTGAAGAGCTGTTTCCAACACATCAATTCTCATTTGCGATCTCATGTAGTACATTTCGCAGCAATTCCATATAGTTAACATCTTTTCTTCCTGTCGCCTATAAAAATACACATACACACATTTAAGATCAAGAATTCTTTCAAGATGAAAAACAAATATGATTATCACTGACCCATGGTTTATATGGCTGAAGTTTGTGTTGAGATCGATCGGCCTATGGAGGAAGTCGTCTAACGGTTTCTTCAACTTGCTTTCCAAAATTCCAGTTTTGTACGAGAGGCCGATTTTGTTCAGGTTTTTGAACAGATCTGCCAAAGCTCTATGTTTTTGCTGTAGGATACTTTTTGCTTGCGATACTTGCTTTTCTTTAGGCAAAGATTTGTCGACCTTAAAAAATCATGAGAGATGTTAATATTAGGATTGAGTAATTCTCACAAAATGTTTTCATTCATTTTCACACAGAGGATAATGAAATATAAAGATTATGTTCATTTTTATAACAAATTTGGCGAAGATATTTGAAAAAATCCTGAAAGTTTATTGATGAATTCAAATTAATATCTGATTCACAGTTTCCCTTTAGAAAAGGTGTATCTACCAAAGATGCCTTGAAATTATTAGTAGGAAATTTAACTAAAAATATTGATAACAACAATCCAACCCTGGCTGTATTCATCGACTTACAAAAAGCATAAAACTATTGAGTAAATTAGAACACATTGGAATCAGAGGTACGCCACTTAAATTATTTCAAAATTATTTGCATATCAGAAAACATAAGGATAAAATTGAAAATATAGCTAGTGAAGAAATGACTGTAATGTATGGAGTCCACAAGGAACAATACTTCGCCCCTTCTTTTTAATATATATATATATATATATATATATATATATATATATATATATATCTCAAAGACTTATATAATCTATCAACAAAAAGTGAAAAAATAGGATTTGCAGATGACACCACCATCATACATAAAGCCAGAACTTGGACGACATTAAAAGAAGATATTGAAAAAGATTTAGTACAGATAACAGACTGGTTCGATAATCAATTATTAACTATTAATTATAAAAAAAAAACACTTTATTCCCTTCACCTCTTACATAAATAAATTACCGCTATATAATCAGCTAAATATAAAGAAAAGAAATCTCAAAAATAAATATATATCACGTAAACTAAATCATAAATATCCCGGAATTGTTTTAGACTGTCATCTTCGTTGGGATGCACATATCCAATACATTAAAAAGAACTTTCTATTATATAAATCCAGATCTTGCGATATTTCGATGAAACTCAATTAAAATTTTTATATCAAACATTAGTTGAATGCCACACAACCTATGGAATTATAATCTGAGGATCCTCGAATAATAACCATATAAATTCTTTACAGAGAGAGACCTAATACAAAAAATATTCATAAAAAACAATTCATAACAAACCGATATATATCCCTGCCAATGGCTGTTTATAAAATCAAAACTTTTAAAAAATTATTTTGGTATAATGTTATACTAGAATTCCATGAAAACAAACATTCGACCATTTATAAAAATTATGAATATGATACTAGAAATAAAAATTGTAACCCAAAAAAAATTCTATACACTTAGATCCAAAATTATATCATAAATTACGAAAATATATTAGAAAAAAACCAAATATCATTATTAAAAATAGCTGTATACGAGTGGCTTTTGAAAACTGATGTAATTTATAAAAAACTAAAACATATCTTTTCTTCAGTGCTAGTATACGATCCAAAATTAATGTACATTTATATTATATCAATTTTTTTTAGTCCTATCAGTTTATTATAACTGCTATGTAATATGTATGTTATGTTAGCATCCACATACAAGGATATTTTCCTTTTGTGGCGTATGAATTTGTTCGCAATTTGTAATTGATGTCAATAAATTATTATTATTATTATTATTATTATTATTATTATCATTATTATCATTACTTGGCGTAACATTTGTCAGAATTCATGTAAAAATGAATACGTAGATCTGTAGGCCTTCTCATGGTTTTTGTCGGGACACAGTAAAACTACAGGAATTACCTTTATACATCCATTTCCCTCGCTCATACATATGCAGTCGGATACTTTGTGCGGACATTTGTTTGTGTAAGCTCGCTGACATACGCTTTTTATTTTATCCTACCGGCTTGAAAAGTTCCTTGTCAAAACGTATATGAGTCCTCCACATTTATGTTTTTCATTGTCGGTATGACAACTTGCTTGTCATGGGCGTGCGATATGACTTTAAAGTTTTATAGATTTTGATACAAATCATAGCAGTGCCATAAGATACAACTACAATGCTAACAGACTGTGTATTTTCGGAAAGTGGATGAAAACAACGGTCATGCAATCTCCCTTAGAGAATTTAAGCTCCATATATGGTACACGGTCGATCTTGTTTACTTATTTCGCATGACTTTGTGACCTTGTTTGGTATGCTTGGAATATAAAAGCGATCATTTGTTGGACCATCATATGGTGTCCAACTATTCCACCAGAAGGGCATTTCGGCTATTTAAATAAAGATAATCTTGACAAGACTTATGGTACCTCTAAATTTTGGAGATGAGTATTTGCCTCTATGACTTCAGTTACAAAGCCATCTAAACTTTGGACCAAAGCTGGGTACTCTGTGGCAAGAATTGTTTCGTTGCAGAGTTTCCTCGATTTTAGGAAATAAGATTCAGCCTTGCTCAAAGTTCCCTCTTCAGTCACCTGAATTTTCTGAAAAATTTATTCATAGTTAGGAAAATAAAAATAAATATAAGTTCGAAAAAAAAAATGTGGACGACAGACATCCATCTGCAAACGAGTGACAGAATCAGTGTAAATTATATCTTAAGGTTTGCACCCAGAAAATATATTTTGAGTGTTTCCACTTTTTTTAGGAAACTTGCTCTCCAGTTGTCAAATTTAAAATTACGCGCCAAAGCTGTGAGTTATTTCTCCACGTCCTTCCCTTAGCCATGGAGGTTTCACATGCGACAAAATAACCTTTATTCTCCGACATTGACAGTTTGACATGAAAGTAGTCACGTTCCATCGGTATCCGTGACCCATATTATGTAAAATTATCGCTATGGTAGCTTTATGATCGCCATACTTGTGAATTGAGTACTAGCATTGATTAGCGAATTCTACCTGAAAATATTCAACCTAATGCTATATTTTGGCGTTCAAAAATTTGGGAATTTTGTCACAAATGTTTCTCTATTATCTCCTATGCTTTGAGAAGGTTAGTGTATCATAGATAGGGCTGTAGTCACCTGTATGCTTGTATATACTCATAGACAGCGCCATCTTTGAGATAGTAACCTTTCTGAAGTATATATATATATATATATAGATGACACTACAGGATATCTAGTCGCTAGCCCACGTCAGGGGTACTGGCTGTGAACGACACTTTTGGGGAAATGGTACAACGACCTAAAGTATAGAACTTATAACTTAGGCCATAGAAACTATGGATGACCTCCGCTAGTGCCATCCCTGAAGCAGAGCCAAAGCACATAGCTCAAAAGTGTCCTGACGTTCAGACAACTCACACAGCAACTGCAAGTGACTTATTTTGCAGTTACGCAATAAGGGCGTGGAATAAAAATCAAATTGTTTCATTCGAGAAACAAAACTTTTTTTCAAGATACGAGTAAAAAAGCAAGGGAGAACTGGATCATCGTGGGAAAATCGATGTTATCAATGCATTCAATTCCAATTATTCGTAATAAAAGTACAACGATGCCAGATATGTAATAAATTACTTGATTTAAAGGCTTTCTTACCCTTGCCAACGAGTGTTTCGCGACATATATATCCGCATCCAGTGTATAATGATGAATCGACGGACTTTGCCTTTGCGGTCTATCCCAAATTCCTTCAGTTTCCCTCGTACCACATTCCAGGTTATGCAGATATGGCATAACCGGCTGTTGAAGAGCATCCCTGAATTCCCGCATGTGCTTATACAGCGTCCTGTGGGATTTATCAATCGTCTCCTTGATAGACCAGTAATTAATATCTTTCCACCTCACTATTTTCACGTAATCTTTCAGCTTTTTCTCTATGGGCGTCCTCACATCTTTTATTTTATTGGTTATTACTTGAGAATATTGTTTAAAATAGCAGTACAAGTTCCAGAAAATGCTGACAAGTGTTTGCATTTCTTGCGATCTGGGCAATTGAGTTGCGTGACAATGAAAGACGTAAAGCAGGTCTAGTCTGCTGTGGAATTCCGCCAAGTTTGATTTTGTGATGAAACTTTGCAAGGTTTGAATCAAGTCAGTTTCGGAAATCGACTTGGTGATGAATTGATCGCAAATATTGTATAGGTAGAGCCACCATTTGGCAGTAAATTCGTTCATCCTGAAAAAATATTTTAAAAATTATTAGAAACTTTTGTCAATCACAAATACCGCGGACGTAAACTTTAACGTTAAGCTTATTTGACTGATTCATCACACCTGAATTATTGACTAAAGGTTAACGTTTGCGTATGCGTTTGATCGTCAAAACTCTCTATATAATATTCAAAGTTAATAAAACTTAATGGCATGATCAAGGAGAAAAACAATTACAGTTGAAAATAATAATAGTTCTGGAAATGAAAGTGAAATTCTGAACGACGTTTCTAAGTGAAGTTTACACGGTGTCGTGAAAGGAAGAACAAACAAAAATCTTATACTATTTCAAGCTACCCACTTGTCATAAGTCTTGTTCAAAAGGTCCTTCCACATATTCAGCTCCAACTTCCTCCATGTGATAATTTGTTCAGTTAGGTTTTTGGAAAACTCACTGAGGCTGACACCAGAATGCGCCACTTCTTCCCATTCATGACATTTGCTCAGTAATATCTCGAAACCCGTGAGAAACCTCGAAACAGGGCTGTTTATATCAAAGGTGTATATCCTCTCAATGACAGTTATAATCTAAAAATATAAAATACTTTTTAATGTTTTACCAGTTGTTTCCATTTTCAGCAATGTAATTTTCACATACTTGCTGATAATACATATATAATTTTGTTATTGTTTAGTTCTAAGTTAGATATGTCACATCTATCAACATCCTCAATATTCTTCACACTTACATCTCGTAAAGTGGGTTGATCTGGCCACTCATGTAATATTTCAAGGATCTTCCTTTTCAAGTCTTCCAAGATGTGATAGCAAGATTTAACTTCTTCTTGATTCGGGTCTTTATAGAAATCGCTGCTTTTCTTATTCATTATTTTTGTTGGCGACGTAACATCAGCTGGAAAATATACTATTTATACATTATAATCAATTGAGCATGGTTTGCTATTTACTATTTTCAATTTTATTTTTAGCTCCTAAAGATGATGCATAGCTTGTCGAAAGCTTGAGTATTTGTAAGTCAGAAGGGTACACTTTGCTTAATTTGTCGATATCCCCAAAGACAAGTCTTTCATTTAACTAGTTATTATCGACACTAACTATTAATCGTATATATATATACAGGGTGACTTTGAAGTTGAGTCATTAATTTTCAGATAATGATTGTAGAAGGAAGATAAACCAAAATATGTGTGTAAAAATAAAAAAAAATTAAAAAAAAATTTTACCTTGTTTTATAAAGTATCCTCCCGACAAGTATTTCAGTGCGGACCTGTATTTGATCGTGAGGTCTTGGAGCACCGGCATGCCGTCCCCTGTGAGGTCTTAAGTCAAATGATTCACGAGCCCGTTGTACTACATTAACAAAGGCACGAGGGGTTGGTTGCACTCGATTGGGAAACCGATCCGCATAAACATGTGCCATTTTTTATTTCGTTTGAGCCACGCAACAGACACCACTATTCACTCACGCGTTACCGACTGACACTGACTGTATACAATTGAATAAAATAATTGTAAAAACATCGTTCCAAATTCTTTCGCTTTTTTGTTTCCGATGTGATGAACCGATAAGGCGGATTATATCCGTTGTTGCCAAACATGAGCACATAATATTATTATTGAGACAGGGAGGTACTCAAACTTCCAAAGGGCTATAACTTTGTTACTTTAATTTTACCAGAAAAATGGTAAAGGTAAAAACATTTCTTTTGATCAGATCTACTCACTGTTAAAATAAATGACTCAACTTCGAAGTCACCCTGTATATATGATTACCACATAAGGAGTAACGTAATATATGTTGAGCAATGTGCATTAAGTTACTCACAAATTTTACAGCTATCTCCGTATCTCTGAGTAACAGCCAATACAACGTTCATGCATCCAAAAACTTCTGCATCTAGCTTATAGTCTAATGCATGATGGGTTTTATCCAGAATCTTCGCGAAAACTTTCTGTTTCTGTAATAGAGGAAGTAAGAAATCATGGCTGATACTATTATCCTTATCAGGATTCAACCATTCAGTCTTCGTGAAACTTTTCACAAGCATTGTATGAAGATTCATCACAAACTTTAGGTCTTCGTAAGTAACAGTTTCTTTGATCGTCTCTTCAACTGGAGCCGTAGATTCTGTCGAGTCTAAAGTTTTCTGAAATTCTGAAAAATCGGTGGTATGATAATCTGGAAACAGCTCTTTCAATTCAGCGGATATTTGTTCTTCTTCTGGTAGATCATCACACTTCGTTCTGAAAAATAATTATTAATATATTTATATCATGTAGAGTGTAGTGTAAAATGGAACAATGCTTGGAAGGATCGCAGCTTTATAGCTTGGAAGACAGCACCAATACAGTGTTGACATTTACACTTCTTTTTACCCGAGTTGTACAGTATATGCGGTAATATATTTTATGAAGTGAACTACTACAGAGTCACACAAAAATAAAGTAAGCTGCGTTACAAGCTGCGTCTAGCTCACCTAGTCTTATACAAACTTTCAGCTTCCTTTCTTGAATTTCCTTTTCTTCTTGTTGTTTATTCCATGCTTCTATGAAAATATCTACAAATTCTATAAATTCTGCGAAAGTTCTGCGTTCCATGTTGTCAACAATTTTGTATTCCAAAACGCAGTGATTAAAAGCTTCTTGAACAGCACATTTTAACAACCTACAAAAGAAGACATGTTTGAGTCATGAGATATACTAAGTGACATATAAAAAGCAACACCCAGAATTATTTACTGAATTTGATAAAATATTGTGATCATATTTGCTTTTATGGAAGTATATGTTGATAAAAATGTAAAAATTTTAAAATTTTAATCACTTTCTATTTATCAGTAGACTTGTAAAAGTATGCTCAAAATTACAACACTCGTAGTCGTTGTTGCATTTTCTATGTCATTTAGTATATATTAACAACAGGCATATCAGCGAATGATAAGATGTATACAATTACTTAGCATTAAAAAAATTTCGACCCAAGTTTATTGGTCATTATTATAAATATGTAACATCAACTATTTTGAACATTTTTAAATATTATTCATACTACCAGTTATCAGTTGAGCCAAGACAATATTTTTCATAAATAAAATGTCTTTAAGGGCTGTTTCCAAGTAGAAAATTGGATGTACTTTTATTTCGAGTCTTATAATGTAGAAAATATTTAGTTACCTCAAGTTTTCTCGTTTACAAACATTGACGTCATCATCATTCTTGAGAACATCATCAACTAAATTCTTGATTTTACTGCTCGTAAGCATGTTCACATAATCTCCATAACTATTCTGCTTTTCATCTAGTATAGGAAATTTGCAGAGATTCGTAAGATCCTTACTAATATTCACATCTATACATTTTTTAAACTTGTACTCCGATAACAGCTTCCTCAGCAATGCCAACTTTAATTTCAGTCCATATAAAAATTCTGTTAGACTGGCCAGCAATGGATGCATAATGTCTGGATAGCTGTCTTTGAAATTGGACCAACCACGGATAAGCATTTCGTAATTGACGACAGAAGATTCTATTTGAGTCAACTCTCTGATTGACTGGTTCTCGTCGACAATCAATTCACTCGAGTGAGTGTTTAGTAGTTGTGTTATTCTGTTATGCAAAACCTTGTTGATAGAAGATGATACGTGTTTTGGACTTAGGAATGTTGAAAAGGCAAAGTTGATTTCCTGAAAATAGGAATTAATGTTAGTGGAACTCGCACTTACAGTTAGTTATGGTCCCAATTATTATTTCTAAGTATCTACAATTTCAACAACAAGGAACATGAAACACTTCAACTATCAGAGTAGTGCTATAATCTATTGATATGGTTCATACAAAATTCAGTAAGCGAATAGAAACTTAATGATATATAGAAATTTGTTCAACTTACCTTCAACATTGCCTCAAAGAAAATTTCCTCTGACCTAACGGCAACATACTTATATGTTACTTCATGTTTGTATTGTAAATTCGTGATCATCTGCCTAATCGGTTCACAAATGGCGTGTTGAGTTTCTTTAGATCCGTTGAAGACCATATTCTGCTTTCATAGTATTGCAGCATTGATGTGAAGCGTTTTATTGAATCCGCGCAATGTTTCTAAAAGAAGGAAGTGGGATTAATTCACAAAATGTAAAAAATACTGTTTACTGAAAATATCTGTTATGTTACATGAACATTTATTGAAAATTCTAAAGGGTGTGTCCACAGTTGATGAAACTAAAGCAGCTTCGTTAAAAAAATTCTATAAACATTGGAAGTCTGAGATGAGTCGTTTTTGTAATCTATACAAAAATAAATTTATTCATCTTGTAAGCGAAACAAAACAAAGATACTATTTTCAGTAGTAGAAGTAACAAATGAAAATCAACGAATATGCGATGAATTTGTAAACTTTTTTACAAATGTCGAAGAAAAATGAGCAAATAATACAAAAAATGATTATAATAAATTTGAGTTACTTGAAAAACGATTAATGAACTCATTTGTTCTGAACAAAGTAGATGCTCAAGAAGTTTTTAACGGTATTATGTCACTGAAAAATAAGAAAAGCCCAGAATCTGATGAAATAAGAGCTGAACATCTGAATATGATGGGCAAGCAAATATCAGAACCATATGCTTATGTTATAAATAAATGCCTACGGTCTGGAATATTTCCTCAAGCTTTTAAATGTTATCAGAATTGTCTACAAAACAGGTGATAATCTGGCCGCTACCAATTATCGACCCATATCATTCATATCGATTTTGACTGAGACATACGAAAAATTATCCTCTAGTAAGATGATGAATTTTCCTGATAAATGCAAAAGTCAAAATCATTACCGTTTTGTAACAGGAAAATCTATCATAGGTATACTGAGTCTAGTGAATTAAATCACTCAAATCCTTGATGAGAAAATTCCACCTATTTGTGAATTTGTCGATGTAAAAAAGGCATTCGATACAGTTAATCACAGTCTACTGTTAAAGATTTTAGAAAAATTAGGTTTTCGTAGAAAAATATATTATTTAAAGCAAAGTTATTTATCTAAAAGGCCCCAAGTAGTGGAACAATCAAAATCATACAATAAGGAAACGTCTGTCAAATGTGGGTAGAGGGTACAGTGTTAGACCTTCTTTTATTTAACATCTATGATACATTCAAAATTAACTGTGTAGGTAAAAGTCAGTTTTGCTGATTATACGGCAATACTATATAAAGCAAGCCTGGTGTGATATAAAGAGAAACGTTGAGAACGACTTTTGTAAAATCATTCATTTTTTCAACACTAAAAAATCAACCCTGAAATTTGGAAAAACGCATTTTCTACCGTTTTCATCATAGGCACTCCATCTACTCGATTATTCAAATCTATTCTTCGAAATGAACAATACAAAATAAGATCATAAGTTCACTGCCAATGAAGCTGTATTCTCAAAATTACAAGTCTTGCAAAATAAAGCTATGAGAATAATATTGAATAAAAATAGGTACACCAAATAAAATCTATGTTACAAGAATTGCAGTAGTTGAATATAAAAAAATGCATATCATAGTTGGTTCTTATTTTTATATTTAAAATAAAAAATCAGCTTTTGCCAGAACATTTAGAACACTACATAGAATTGAATAATCATTACCACAATTATTATACAAGAGGAAATATAGATTTTCATTCACAAAATTGCAATAGTAATATAACTAGCAAATCAATATTTCAGAAAGGATTACTTGAATCTAATTAACTAAATAATGATATAAAGTCTATTTGTAATTTAAAGATATTTAAAAGAAAATTATAGGAATATTTCATGGACAATGAAAATTCTTAGATGCAATTTTTTTTTCTAAATATGTGTAAAGAAGAAGAATGTAATTGTAGCAATCATGCTAAATAAATCTTAAACAAACAAATGTATAAGGTTATATGGATCACAGTAAATACTGAACGTGCAACATGTGACTAATAAATAATCTTTAATCACTATCATTATTATTTTGAATCAATTGGCTTAGTTAGAGAGGGTAGAAAATATAATTTATATGACGCGCAAATGAAATATTTACCTTTTTCAGAGTTTTCTTTGCCAATGGATCGATCATAGGTAGTTTAGAGTTCAGCGTAGCTTTGATATAGCCGATCTCCATGTAAACATCGGCGATGAGGTAAATCCTTTCAGACATATTCACATTAGAGATACATTCAATGGCAGCTTTACATTTTTCCAGCTGATCTATTAGCATCAAAAGTTCTTTTTCTGGATCAGAAAGTATGTGTTCCTGTCGTATGATTTCCAACTTGTTTACGATATTGGAAATGGTCGGCTCGTCAATCGATAAGGCCGCTGCCAGTTCAGATACAAACTTAGACAGGAGATCGGTCACATGCTTCTTCTGACACTCCCTAAAACAGAAATGGTCGAAATAATACCAGTATATGACGGAGAGTATAAGCAGACTTGAATATGGTTTATATAGATTATTCATTTGTTATACAGAATGTAGAGAACGATGAGTACAGAGTGAGCGCTAGTCCATCTTCGACAAACTAAATGATCCAGTTGTTTGGTATCAAAAATTTGTTGAAATTTTTCTACAAAGACTCATTTCGAGTGGCGCCATTTAGAGGCGTGTGTGTCCGCAAGATAGTACCCCAGTAAACCAAAAGACTCGCTACATATTTTCGGACACCCTTTAGATGAATGTGTCTCACTTTATACTTACACGAAATCATAACTTCACCACATAACTGATAGAAATTTCGCCACAGTATCGCCGTTAACTGATCGTGCTGGTTCTGGAGTTGTCTGAAGTTCCCCAACTTCACTATACTCCCATCACCATTATTTGATAACAAACTATTTACGTAGTATGATACTTTGGGAGAAATATCACTTAGAATTAGTTTGGAGCTATCTTCGCTGTCTGTTCTATCATATACTTGAAAGGTCGAACACTCGCAGAGTTTCATTAGATACAGATAATATGAAGTTGAAAGTTCATGAAGGAGTCTTTCATCTTTTGTTTTTGTGTAAAGAGCCAACGTTCCAGTTAGGTTTATTGAATGAGTACGTTATTTACTTGAACCTCCAAGTTGCTTGTTGCTGAAGCTCTAATTATTTCTAGGTGGTTGAAATGGTCGACTAGAGGTAAGGTTTCTAGTTCAGATTCTGAAACACACAGAAAAATCATTGTAGCGAACTGAAAATATTTTCTGAAATGCTATAATAAGCTTGCACTCACTCATACAAAAAATCTGAAAACCATTACTATTAATAACGACCACGGAATGATAGGAAAAGTTTGTATGTTTGTTTGTTTGTTTAAGATTTATTTAGCATGATTGCTAAAATTACATTCTTTTAAAAAATTAAACAATTACATAACAGATATTAAAAAAAAACAAAATTTGCATCTCTTAGAATTTTCACTGTCCATCAAATATTCCTTTAATTTTCTTTTAAAATCTGTAATTACAATAGACTTTATGTCATTATTTAGTTTATTAAATTCAAGTAATCCTTTTTGAAATATTGATTTGCTAGTTATATTCCTATTGCAATTTTGTAAATGAAAATCTATATTTTCTCTTGTATAAGAAACAAATACGATATGAATTTTTTTATATTTCAACCACTTGCAATTTTGTAACATAGATTTTATTTTGGTGTACTTATTTTATTCAGTCTTATTCTCATAGCTTTATTTTGCAGGACTTCTAATTTTGAGAATACAGCTTCATTGGCAGTGAACAAGATAGTTCCTTAAACTTTAGTTTGATATCAATATATGTATATCCCAATATTTAATTGATTCAACATTTTCAATTATTTCACAATTTATTCTGACTGGGTATTTCACTATTAGCTTACATTTTGTTTTAGAAGAGTTAATTTTCGTTTATTTACATTTAAGCAATTTATGATTTTTGCCAAATCAGAATTTAGCATTTTTAAAGCAATGTCTATATTTTCATCTGATATGTATTTAATGTATCATCTGCAAATATTTGAATTTTACAATAATCTAAAATATTACAAATGCCATTAACTATAAAATAAATAGTAGTGGACCTAGTTTATTACCTTGTGGTACACTAACAGAAATATGAATATAAGCAAGACAAAAATTGTAATTATTAAATTCATACGATTTTTTTTTCAAGTAAAACTCGTGTATCATTTCTTTTACGTGTTTCCAGCTGTTTTCGAAGCTTTGAATGAGACAGGATAGGACCCATAAGATTTTTACGATATATCTTGCTCACTTACCATGCATTTTTGTGATTACTTCCTCGGTTTGATATACCTCATCTAAAGATATTAGTTTCTGCAAGTCCTCTGACATTCCTTCGAAATCGAAATCCATTTTTGATTTAAAATCGACCAAAAACTTTCTAAGTTCTTTATTACTCTCGAAGTAATTCAAAACTTTTACAACGTCATTGTTGGAATCAAACGTCGTACCTGCGACTTATTCTGTTGTACTTCGTGATAACGTCAAGTTGATGTTTATTAACTAATGGTGGGGGAACGTTACTATGCTTTCTGTATGACTTGCCCACTTTCTAGAAATAAATTAAAATACATTTTGAAGACTAGGAACACGTCACTAAAAAACTGTATAAACTCCCAATTTGTTCAAGGTACAGTACAAAGCACTATGCTGCTTCGGTCTAGATGACATCTTGTAGACAGGTTTGGCATTAACATTTTATAAAATATGATAAATAAAATGAATAATTTTGAAAAAAGCTTACTGTAGCACAGAGAGATGTCAGTTCCTTGTTTATCCTAAGCAGCACTTCTTTTATCTTGTGGCAATTTATATTGGTTATAAGCTCCATTTTTCTTACTGCGAATTTGTAGAACCATTTGTAATGCACTTTTAGGTTTACAATCAAATCATACTGCTCTTTGATACTAATCTTGCTTATTGGTCTCAGCGTACATTTTTGAAGAATAAATCTCCACTGGATCAGGTAGAACATATCCACCAAGTCCTTAAGGTTCAGTTGCTCCAATTCATTTGCAATTTTGCTGATACAGATCGTATAGTTTAATAAGACTGAGGAACTCGTTAATGACTATTCATTGAACCTATCTTCAACTCTTTTTATTTTTCTGATGCATATAGTCCATTAAGGTAATTTTTCTTGCTGAGTTTTGGGGCCTGTAAGATATCTTTCTCAACGTGATATTCACAAGCCATCAATAAAGCGAATGTCAGCACATTCGTTTTAGGATTTTTCGCAGTGTATGTAGTATCTGGTAACCATTGATGATCCACAGGTAAGTTAGGATCTTCGATTCCATTGTAAGACGATGTGATTTCATATAACTGCTTTATCAGTGGCAAGGAAGAGTTATCCACCTGAAAATTGATCAGGATTACAAGTTACCGTATATAGTGACACCGATTCACTATCATAGACTATCGTCAAAGTCAATCGAA